GAAGGCTACATCATTTCTGCTCAGATGTGGACCTTTCATCGGTAATAGCTGATGCATTTATCAACCATGATAGTTGGTCATGGCTTGCAGGAGTGTGTTGGAACAATYCCCTGGACACTCCATTCCGGGAACAGATTGCATCAAACAGTGTCTTTCCAGGYGTAATCTATGGAAATAATTGACAGYGATCAAGAACAYGGATCTAATACTATGCAGGGTAAGAAGCTACTGGGAGTTAGAGAAAAAAAGACATTTCCTGAGCTTTTTAGAAGAGCACATGTGAGTTCAATCACAGCATCCTTCCATCCTGAACACTGAGGTTCCTATGACTCCTGCTTAATCAGCCATTTCTCAGAAAGCTAAATAGCTTGTCAAATAACTGAAAGATTATCACTTGATCTGAATCTCCTTTTCCCAGAACACTACTAAGTAAGACATTTCTGACTGTACTTTCACAGTGTCCGTTTATCTCCTTAACACCGCAGTAGATAAGGTGCCCAGGCAATCAATTCTAAATCAAAAGGATGTCAAGAAGCACAAGTGAGCCAGAACAGATTCCCACCACTTACTGCGATTGCTGCTTGTCAGTGAGATGGTAAGAAGCACCTCAGCTTTGGTTGCTCTGCACAAATATTCAAAGAATTTCATTTTGTTTTACCGCCTTATAAAAAAGGTAAGAAAAAAGTAGTAAATATCATTTCAGTAAATCTTTTTTTTACTGTATTTTTTGAAGAAATGCCCTTTCTGGTTACTATACACATATCATCTGGGCTCCTTCAAAGTTTGGAAGCTAATGCAAAATAGCTACTGTCACCACAGACTCATGTATAAATCTCACAACTTGAAGGATTGCATTTGTTTTGCTGAGAAATGACCATAGGTCAATGGAAAGTTTCAAGATAAACTAACTCTCRGTATTTTAAACATAGCTTTAGCTAATTCTTATACAAAGACCATGTTGTTCCTTGGTTACTCACTTATTCTATTTCCTCTGCCCCTTTTTTCTGCTAACCCAAGTAAAYCATGTCCCTTTCTTTTTCCTCACATTGGTAAAAAATGCCTTATGCCTTATGTAGACTATTAAATTTCATTGTAAAATGTTCAAAGCTACCCTAATATCATATTTTTATTTTTCAATCAACAATACTATTTCTTTCATAAAACAGACAGTCGTGATCTACATTGACCTCAGGAGCTTTATTTTCTTTTCATGAGTGTTTGCTGACCATATGACTGAGTGTTACAAGATGAAAATATGTTCCTTTTAATTTAATAACATTCTCTTATGAGTTAAGGGATATTGTTTCTGTAACTAGGCATCTGGATGAGACACTGTAAAGGTAATCAGTGTATCACAGCTGATGCACACTGGAGAATCCCTATGTGGCTCTCCAAGTGTTGTTATAGTGTCCTAACAACTTCTTCTCAAAGACGAACAGTTATTACCATCATTCCTGGTTTATGGCTGATTTTGCTGTATACCCAGTTGCAAAATGTCCTATTACTGAATGGAAAAGCAATATATTCTTCATGAATATTTTAACGAAAAGGATATGTTATTTAAGAAAATAAAGACATGAGCTGTTCTTCTAAGTTTCTGTATATGACTGGAGGTTGAATTTAGGAGCAGGCTTGTTCAGGTCTGGCCTAGTACTGCGGCTCCTCTTTTATCCTCTAGCGGCAGTCACAGCAGTGTCCTGCTACAGAAGCAGTGAAGAGCAGGATAAAGCAATTGATTTCCAGCAAACTGCTGAGACAATGTAGTTGGATGCATCTCCACAAATGAATCTGCTGGATGAAGTAAATCTCTAAGCAGTATTTAACACAACTTTCTGGATTTAAGAGCTCTGAATCCTCCCGTGTGTCTTTTTCCCTGCTGGCTGCATTGGGAATGTCCATTTCTGCCCCCTCCATGTGCTCTGTTGCCCTAATAGCTGTACCCTTAATGGTATATGACATACGAGACCAGGTACATCATTGCTGACCTGCCAGCGCACTGCAATGGCTTGTTCAAACGTGTTGTATTAAGAACAATGTAGCATCTTGTGTTTATTATATTGCATATAACAAACATCACTGAAAAGAACAGAATCTTTTCAAAAAGCAGTCTGCACACTGTGTTTAGAGTAGCTGAGTTAATTGTCCTTATCTTGTTGAAACTCATATAATAGCCACTTACTGTCTGCCAAAATCCTCCCTCAAGTGGGAGAATCCTCATGTTAGTAATTGGCCTTGCATTCTGAGTCATTTTTGAATTTTATCTATTTTATTTATCTCCTACCCATTTCAAACTTGCAACATACCCAGTTTCCAGAGGTCTGCTGGCATTCTTGTGGATATTTCCTTTTATAACAATGCAATCTTATACATGGACAATGTTTTGTAATGAGGCAAAATGAAGGATCTCTTTGAATAATTCCTGAGGGAAATGTTTAAAAGTCAACCCTAGTAAGAGCTGGGTTAAACAATAAAGCGCAAGCTGCTCCCTGGATCCTTTACCTTGTCACATGCAGCTTCTGCCAGATTAACCGGAGAGAAGTTTGTGCCCATGTACGAGGCCAGCAAGGAACTTGGGTCGTGTGTGTTCCTGAAGAAGTCCAAGTTACCTAACAAATAAAAACAGACATGCTGTTTCTGAATCCGGGGTACTGATTATCCAGGGTGCAAATGCTCCAAACACACCTACACACTCTGCATGTGCATCTGTGTCCCGGGCACGCTGGCTCCGTCCCTCTGTGGCAGTAGGCCATAGGTAAAGGCCACAGGGAGTTTCCATGGGAGGCCTTTAGTCTAGCAGGAGTGAGTTAAATTACCCCTTTTTGATGTCCTTCAGGCCAACTCAACTTGCTTTCATGTGGTTCCTTCAACTCCCTGCCAAAAGGGGCACATTTCATGTCATTATTCTCTTCTTTGCCTCCCCTGCCCCAGGGTCACGGCTCACCCTGAGCTGGCTCCCCTGCCACGTGGGAGGCCGGTTCATCATCCTAACGTGACAGGCAACTCGACGGCCCAAACCAAAGCAAACAGCGTGAAACGAGCTCCAAACCAAAGCAAACAGCGTGAAACGAGCCCCAAACCAAAGCAAACAGCGTGAAACGAGCTCACTTGTTTTGCAAACACTAAAAGGAGATAAACAGCAAGGCAGAGCATGGGCAGAGGGAACTGCAGAGGGAACGGGAAGCCGTGGCAAGAAGAAGGAGGGATGGCGCCGGCCGGGCTGTCTCGCCTGTRGCTCAGGCAGCGGCGGCGCAGGCCCCGGCGCCACTTGGCCACCATGAGCTGGGCCGCAAAGGAGCTGCGGGCAAAAGACCTTCACACCACGGCAAAGGGTCTGCAAAGGAACCACAACACCGTGAAGCTACCCGGGGGAACATGGGTTGGTTGTGGGAAGAGCCCTGCTCAGAGCCTTCCTTGCAAGGCCTCTTGTTTCTTCCTGTGCCTCCATTACTCCAGTGGGCCTCCCTAGGGCCCTCAGGCAGAGGGAGTTTTAACCGGTGAGAAGCTGGTCTGTATTCGGCTATACAGCTCCTGGAGAGACTCCTGAGAGGAGGATCTGCCGCCCATGTTGATATGCGTGTCCAAAGTCCYTTAATAAATGAACTTGGATTTACAGGATATTCTTTTTTGGTATTTGTATTTCAAAAGGCAGTGATAGTCTGTTTCTGAAGAATTTGTCTTTATCACGTGAAATGTGGCATGAAAACCCTKACAAAAGGGGAAAAAAAATGATCTTCTGAAGGGGTTAAAACACTAGAGTCACACACTGAAACACTGGATGAAAAGAATTTTCAAGCTACAGAGTAAATATGTCTATAATATATTACATTATTACGTACCATTACTGTTAACCTATAATTACCAATTTATAGGTCACATGAATCTCCAGTGTGTAACAGTTGTGTGTTTCTGCGGATACATATATGTTCACATAAATGTATCAGTGTATTTTTCTCTATAGTAAAAAAAACGCATTGTATTCCATTTTTACCTGTAGTCCATTTTGTGGTGGATCTTGCCGGGTATTCCCATTAGAAGGCTGATAATGAAGTCAGGCAATTGTCCCAGATAATGCTGTTTGGATGGTCTGTTTGTTGTTTTAAACAAATAACATACAGTGACCTGTTTTGCTGACCTGAGGGAGAAAGCTTTGTTGCCCAGTCCCCTTTTTRTGCCAGTGCTGAATTAAAAAACATTTGACTTCACCATGTTCATCCCATGATGTCATGTCATTAGAGCCTCTAAGGGTTTTTTTTTGTTTTTTTTTTTWGCTCCATCCCTTATCYCAGACTCAGAGCCGCACTCACACCGGTACCCTTGGCCTTCAATCCATAGTCATCCTCTCTCCTCCAAACCTTCATCCCACACTCTGTGGGATGAGACCCTTATGGGGAGCCCACTGCTGCAGCAGCTAAGCTGGTAGAGCACCAGTTTCAAGTGGATTTCTTCTCTAAATAACAGTAAGTGTCTATAAAGCTGTGTCTGTCTTACAATGCAAATTACAATTAAAAGAGTACACTTGAAAATAAATATTATTGCAAGTATGTATTTTTTTCTTTGAATTTGTCAGTTTTCTTTGAATTTTTATTTCTTTATATCAAAATGCAACATATGGGGAAACATCTTTAGATTAGTAAAATGTAATTTGCAAAATTACAGTAAACCTGTAAAGTCTTCCAGATCTAACATGTTTACCTTTCATAAAATGCAAGTAAAAAATCTAAGAGATTTTGAAGCTTTTGGGTCCTAATGCAGTTGCTGAAATGTTTTTCTGAACACGTGGCAGTTTTAGCTGCATTTTCACATAAATGATTCCACCAGTGTGAGACAGGTGAAGAATTCTGGTAGGATGTTGAGGAACTCTTTGCTTCATAAACACTCTCCTCTGAGGAGTGTCTTAGTTCTGCAGCTATTGATGAATCTGCGGCAGACAAAGCACATTCTCACCAAAGTCTGAAGGCCTTTTTGGGACCCAGAGATGGACTACGACTTGGCTGGACCAAATGACACAAGGCACCAAAGAAAAAKGAAGTATCTCCGAGAATTGGAAAAGTGATTATGCTGTCTTCCAGCTTGACTTACTCATTGTAGATGCTAACATATGCAGTGAATCATACGAGTTGCGACTGCTAAGGAAACATATTTCAAGGTTAGTTAATTATTATTTGATTCTCATAGCACATTTCTGGCCTAAAATGAATTAGTAAAATATTCCTCTGTGAGAGTCTTGCAAAGTCTACACGTTAGGCAGTTCATGCACTGCTATGGACACCATCCAGTGTATTTTCAAATAGAAAATGGTGTCTCCAGCCCTCATTTCAGATCTCAGTCAACTGAGTGGATGGAAGTTTGCAGCACATTTCTTCCCTCTGATGATGTCTCAGAATCTAGGGCATTTGCTGCCTCATAGAAATTTTTGGYGCTGAAAATTATAGATGCAGGCTTGAAAATTATACAAAAAATGATATGAAAAGTGCAAGGTTTATGCAGTTCCTGAAGCCAGTATCACTTTAAGACCTATTGAAATATTTAATCTTCCTTTTTATCTCTTTCTACCAAACATGTTCAAAACATCCTCTCCTATCCAACGACAAACAGAATTTATGGGAGAAAGAGGGACAAAAATAGGCCAAAGCTATGGAGGATGGAGACAGAATGGTCAGGTCAAGGGTTGGCTTATATCCCAGCTCTTCTCACCTATAACCAAAGAGCTGGCTTTAAATATTGTGGTGCTGAGGGACCACAGGACTGGACTGGAGCAACGCTGGGAAGGCTGGAGCCAGTTCAGCTATATCCAGTGCTCCCTTGTTCCCATACAGAAAAATATAAATTCGTATTTTCATGGTGGCTTCAAGAAGCTCGTATTTTGGTTTACATGGAACAGATTAAGCTCACTTTGCTGTCTGCAGACAAGATACAGGATGTGAAGGGAACTTCAGCTGCTCTAGAGCATGGAGCTCTTGCTCACAGAAATTATAATAAACGGCACTGAAACTATAGAGGGCAGATCCCGAGGTAAATAAAATTGAGTGCTTGGGATGCAGCAAGTGCAGCATTTTTCTTTCAGGTATTACCCAWGCTGGGCCAGGGAACAAAGTGAAGAAGAGGCCGCCTCGGCAGAGCCCCCCTTGATGCTTCTGATTTCTGCTGATAAACAAAACCAAAACCAAACCAAAACGGTTTTGAATTGCACCGTGAAAAGGCGAATTGCACCAAAAATGGTGCAATTTCAGAGCAGAACCGCCTCTGCCTGTGTGTGTAAGGGCAGCCGGCAGGGCCGCAGAGGCCTGAGCGGGCCGGGCCCTGGCGCCGGGCCGGGGCTGATGCCGGTGCTGATGCCGGTGCTGATGCCGATGCCGGTGTCGGTACCGCTGTCGGTACCGGTGTCGGTGCCGGTGTCGGTACCGGTGTCGGTGCCGGTGCCGGCGCGGCGGTCCCGGCGCCGCAGGGGAGCGGGGCGGCTGTGGGGAGGCGGAGCCAGGGTGACCTGCGAGCATCCAAACACGGGCACCATACCCGCCTTAAGGGATCCTCCTTTTTCTCTTCCTCCCCGCGCCAGGAAACGCTGGCATAAATATATATTAAAAAAAAAAAAAAAAAAAAAAAAAAAAAAAAAAAAAAAGGCGCTTTTCTGTTCACTCGCCCCCCCGCGGCCGGCGCCAGGTGCGGCGCGGCCTCCCCGCGTGCGGCGGCGCCGCCATGGAGCACATCCGGATGCCCAAGGTGGGTCCCGGCGGCGGGCGGGCACCGGCACCGGCACCGGCACCGGCACCGGGGCTGGCTCCGCAGCGGGGCCCGGTCCCCGCTCCCGCCGGAGCCCGCGGGAGGAGCGGGGTGGGGGCGAGCAGGGGCCCTGCTGGCGACGGCCCCTCCGGGCACCGCGGCCGCGATTTATTCACTCATATATATATGTACACAGATATATATGYGTGTATGTATGCATACATACATACATATATACACACATATATATATAAATTCAGATTGAAAATCCTGTTATCGTAAAAAACAGACCAGAGCAATATGCTGCTTTGAGCAGGAGGAGGATGTACCCTTATTTATTCATTTATTACAATTTTTCACCCCAAAGCAACTCTTTAAAAGTTATTCGTATTTCATCTGTGTATATATATTGTTTGCTATCCATATGCAGGGTGCTGACATGAATTTGAGGTCTCTTCTTGCTCCATCTAGGTCTTTTGGTCTTTAGGTGCTAAACTGGGGCATATTAATAAGCCAGTAATTTACCCCACTGCCTTAGAAACTTTGGTTTATTCGTTTTTTTTTTCCTCTCATTTCGTAAGTATTTAGTTTGCCCTTGTGTGAATGAAGAGTATCATAATTTTGTTATGGGAATATTATGAATCTATTCCACCACAGGCAAGACCACTGCTGAAATGGCCACTGAAAGCTGTTTGAACAGATATCTGTGACTGTCAGCTGAAGAATGTCCAAAACATGAAGGAGGAAAATGGAGAAAATAAATTAATAAGGGGAAAAAAAATGCTTAGAAATAAAGGCTAATATTTGCTGTGAATGGGAGGCCTCCATGAGCTGGCAATGGCARTTTTCCCGTTGCCTTTTCTAGGAGCAGGTCCGTAGGGTTTCACTGTGCRGCGAGAAAGGGCTGTGCTCTGTCAGGGGGCTGGGGAAGGCGCCGCGCTGGTGACTCCGGACTGTTGCTCCGGATGGGAATCCTGCTCAGCGGGAGAGGATTCCGCAGTCCCAGTTCCCAGCATTTCCTCACGCTGCTGTCAGGAGCTACGATAAAGTCATCTCTGAATCAGTAGAACAGGACAGGCAGTGCATTCTTAAAGGCAGAATCCCTTTAAGGGTATAAACCTACAGAGCACGGAATCATTTAAAATCCAACACATAATCTTAAAAAAACCCAGACCTTAAACATCAAGTCAGTAGCAGAAATAGAAACCAAGTTTTCCAACAGTTACTTTAGTCTGCCCAGCTGACAAAACTGCTTTTCTCCATTATTTTTCATTTGTATTCCTTAATCTGACAATCAATAGTTAAATGCCTATCACAGTATTTTATCTGCAGAATGCCATTGCTCTTTAATATTCTATCAATGTTRTTGTTAGAATGCAGAATGCACATATGGTGCGTGTTTATGCCTACATAAAGATGCAGTAATGATGTTTTTGCAAGGTAAATGTCACCCTGTGCCAGAAGGTTATAATTAGAGTGCGTTTAAGAGCAGCTAACAGTTACTCATTGCTAAATAACATTGTATGTAACTGCAATGATCTTGTAAAAACAATAAATGAATAAAGCCCCTCTCTGCCATTAGTATGGATCCAGTGTTGAGATAGTCTAGGATTACTGCCAGAACCTGCAATGTTCACTAAATTCACATAACCTTCCAAAATATATGAGCAGTATGTCAGTRTAGACTAAAAGCCTGTCTTGTTAACACGTGTAGAGAAGCTCCTGGCCATGGCCAGGCTGATGGATAATGAGCTCTGAAGAGGGGTTTTCTTCAAGGAGGGACCTCATGCACTGGTGTTAATCACTTTATTTACCCATGTTCTATATTACTGGCTTTTATACACTGGCAGCAAGCCTACTGGACACCATCTAAGAAAGGATATGTCGGATTTTTCCCCGGAGTAAAGACCGGCTTCAGTGGARCCAGGCCAGAAATTCATTTGGCTCAGTGTTTCTTGTTAACACAGTCCTTGGGAGGGTTTGGGTTGCTCTCATGCTTTCATTTCTGTGTTGTTAAAGCAAGCTATCTGCTTTCTAGGATCCCTCTCAGGGAGAATTTAGGATATACTCCCATGTCTCAAAAAAGACAATTCCTTTTGTTTTACACTTACTTTCCTTTACATAATTCTTACCTTTCATTCAAAACTCTTTATAAAATGAACTGATTTTCCCAGTGTCTCTATGAGGAAACAGTTTGCACCCATGTGAACCTGGGCAGGACCAGACCCTGTGTGGCCTGGGCTGTTTTCTCCTCCTGCCCTGCTGGGTGGTGGCGTCTTCAAGCCATCATTTCTACCATTGCTTTCTGCTTGCCTCCTGTTGAGACAGCAGGGGATACTGAGGTTAAGCCTTCCATGTCTGGGTTGCAATTTGGGGTGGAAAGCTCTATTTTGCTTCAGTGGAGTGGCAAGGGGGCAGGAGTGCAGAGGCAACGGTGGGATCTGAGCGGGAATGTGCGCTGGAGGCTTCCCCTCGTACCCCGGGGAAAGGACAGGCACAGGCATCCAGGTCGAAAATCCCCCCAAAGTCTCAACTTCCAAACCACAAAATTAGGCTAGCTAACCCAATTACCAGCAGAAAAAAAGAAAGGGAAAAAAAGAAAGGAAAAAAAAGGAATTTTTTTTGTTAAAATGTCCAAGGTTTTAGAAGTTACTCAATAGGTGCATTTCATCAGCAATAGTCATCTAACATCATCATGATTAAGAAGTGCTGACCTTATTTTGGGGCTAGACACTTCATATGATTTTCAGAGATATCATTCAATTTAACTGGTTATATTCAAAGCAATGGATTACAATATCTGCCCTAGTTCTTCCAGACTTTTGTCTCCAATTTTGTGCATCATTCAATTTTACTTGTGAATAACCATAGCTACAGGAATTGCATATTCAGTGTGCAGTTAGTTTTCCTTAGGTCTCATTTATTGCATCTTTGTGCTCAGGAACTTTCATCACCAATGACAAATTTAGTGTAGATGAGATTTGCAATATCCTGTGCTAAAATGTGGATAAAATGATTAAATTGGAATCAGAACTGCAGAGAGTATCTAGGTGGGTTTAAAATCTTGGTTTGAAATTTGCTCCTAAAATACTGGTTTTGAATTAGTTTAGAGTCAACAAGGGACTTGCTTATTAATGTCAGTTTGGATTTAAACTGAATCTTGTAACAGTCATTATTCTTAAAAGATTTAGTCAGAATATGCCCAAACCATCATGTAAATCATGGTTATTGTGCATTCATGCTACCCCTTTAGTTCAACTCCAACTCAGTTTAAAGGTAGTTTGTTTTCTTTTTTTTTTCTAACATAGCTAAGAGAATTTGGGCTTTTCAAACATGCAGCAATATTTGATTGGAAGTCGGGACCACAGCCTGTTACAGGACAGATCACAAACTTCTATAATTGGTATTTATGGTTTACCTCACACACAGATCRTATTTTCTAAAGCTAACTTGACTGACTTACAATCCAGCTGGAAAATTCCCTTCTCAATCTCATTTTTCTTATCAACTTTATGCTATAAGCCACTTAGCGTGTCTTTTTGGAACAGTACTGGAGGAGATCCAAGGCTGCCTTTGATTTGGGTGGGTTTCAAGATAGCCTCGTGATCAGTGAAATTAAATTAGCACCTGCTAAAAAGAAATGTTGCTGTGCAATTCCAGGGGATCACGTAGCCAACTTTCTCTTCTTGTCTTTGCCTTCCTCCTCTCCCACGCTATGGTTTTAGTTGGGCTCATCCCCACTGTGTGTATGTGAAGGCCACGCAGTGGTTTTGCTGTGCTGCATTAGAGGGCTTTGGCTGTGGTTTAATTTCCTGAGCAGTATTTCTTTCCTCTTCTTCACCCATTTGGATGTTTCGTTTCTTTTTCCCAGGCTTATCATGTTATCGTGTTGCTATTTTCCTTCTTTGAGAGTGTTTCTGCTGGACTCCACTTGCTTTCCATCCCGAAGCTCTYGCGTTTATTTCTGTCTGGAACTCACGAGGAACATTTCAATCACGTTGCTTCAAACTGGCACATTCTTTTCTGCCAGACCAAAATGAGTCACAGAAACTATTGCTGTAGGTGACGTCCTGCCAGCTCATAAGCAGGATGCTGATGTAAAACAGCCAGCTTTCCCGTCTGTTGGGAGGCTTTTGGGAATCTGCAAACTGTTCTCCCTTCACATCACCCACTAAGTTAGAGACTGGGGTTTTGGAGCTCCAGAGTCCTCAGGCAGGGATCCAGCCTGGAGCCCTAACCGGAGCCTGCTCCTGCTTCCAGGATCCGTGAGGTTGAAGCTCTTGTGACCCAAACGGGAGCAGCTGGGAGCTGTGGGAGACTCGTGTTCAGTTGTGGAGTTGGGAGCTTTGGATACTTCCATGGAGCCATGATCCGCCTGGCAAGATGTTTCTATCCTGAAACTTGGGCACTGATGGAGCCAGTGATCCTAATCCGAAAGTCACTGAAAGCAGTGAAAGAATCCCACTGCCTTTAAGAGGCTATGAATACTGCATTTTAGCTTCTGTGGTTTGGGGTCTATTTTCACTTGATTCTCTCTGTTTTACGTGATCTTTTTTAAAGTTTTAAGTTTTTGGTCTAGAAGGGGGAAAAAGGGGACTTTTATTCTGAATGCCTTTTCACTTGTGAAATTTCGTTTTTATACATATACATGTTTCCAATATGCACTTTATCTCAGCTT